TCATTTCATTTTTTCAAGTATCCACATAATATCTGAATGCAATAACTTGTACAATTCATAAAAAGTTTATACTTTCCTGAATCAGTACATAAAAGAATAACTTTCTGCATAAATTACAGTTTTTTAACTTAAAAAAATATTATTTTCCACCCACCCTTATATATGTATGTATATATGTATATATGTATGTATGTATGTATGTATGTATGTATGTATGTATGTATGTATGTATGTGTATATATATATATATATATATATATATATATATATATATATATATATATATATATATATATATATATATATATATATATATATATATATATATATATATATATATATATATATATGTTAGCGTGTCCCTTATATTTCAAAGTTTTTATTTTCTAAGGCATAGGTCTTAGTTTCTAAAACACATAAAAATAAATTTTTACTTTAATTGGAGCACAATAACCCATGCCATTTTGCATTGAATCATGTTCATACTTGTTTAGCTGCATCACTTTTTTGCCTCAAGATAGATTTTTTTTTATTGCTTTTGAATTTTACTGAAATTTCTTAAAAATAAAACAAATAAAATTTTTCATGAGAATAGCTAAAATTGCTGATTTAATTAAAGTGGTTTTTGTCGCAAAGTTGATAATAACTTTCTATTTACAATTATTGTAAGTAGATAGTTATTTTCTATTTACTATTATCAATTGGTATCGAATTATCAAGAAAATAATTATCTATTTTTATTTATTAGTTTTTCATCATTGTAAAAACCACTTTGATGATTTTTACCCTTTTAACAATAACACGAGTAAGTGCAGCTATTGCACAACTTTTAACAATAACACGAGTAAGTGCAGCTATTGCACAAGTTGTGCAATAGCTGCACTTACTCGTGTTATTGTTAAAAGGGTAAAAATCATCAAAGTGGTTTTTACAATGATGAAAAACTAATAAATAAAAATAGATAATTATTTTCTTGATAATTCAATACCAATTGATAATAGTAAATAGATAATAACTATCTACTTACAATAATTGTAAATAGAAAGTTATTATCAACTTTGCGACAAAAACCACTTTAATTAAATCAGCAATTTTAGCTATTCTCATGACAAATTTTATTTGTTTTATTTTTAAGAAATTTCAGTAAAATTCAAAAGCAATAAAAAAAAATCTATCTTGAGGCAAAAAAGTGATGCAGCTAAACAAGCAGTAAAACTTATCAAAGACTTTCATGGTTTGATCACTGCAAAGAAAGAACAAAAGCAATTATTGCTACGCTGTGTGCAAGATACTAGAAATCTGTAACTAGACTGTAAAAAAGAGACCTTTGAAAAAAATATCCTTCTTGATCTGTAATTTTATTTTATTTTAATAAATATTTTATAAGATATAATTATTGCAATTGATTTAGCTACGTAACGATAAGGTTTAAAAACAGCAATTTTCAAAATCTTCAGAGTTCTGTCAGCATGCGCTAGTTTTGTCGTAGGAAGATAAAACTTTGTATTTAAGTAAGTCTAATATATTGGTTACTTTAAATTTATTTTTTTAGAAATTTATCACAAAAAAAAAATTATCAAATTATGTATTTTTTTAACTTATAAAAGTGTAACTTTTAAAAAGTGTAAACTGACGCGTAACATAATGTTAAAAAAATCTATATTTGAGACATAATTTAATTGCGTCTCATATCTAGATTTTGTTACATTATTTGGTCATTTAAAAAAAATATCCTGCTTTATCTGTAATTTTATATTCTTTTAATAAATATCTTATAAAATGTAAATGCTACATAACGGGAAGGGTTAAAAACAGCAATTTTCAAAACCTGCAGAGATCTGTCGGCATGCGTTAATTTTGTAGTACGAGGATAAAGTTTTGTATTTAAATAAGTTTGGATAGTTGAAAAAAAATTTAGGTTTGCATTTTGAAAATCCGAAAGAAAAAAAAAATATATATATATTTTAGGGTGTCCCTTATATTAATGACATTTTTTTTCTTTATATAATGACATTTTTTTTCTATATATATATATATATATATATATATATATATATATATATATATATATATATATATATATATATATACATATATATATAATATCAGGCTTGGTCGGGAAGCGGGAGCGATCGCTCTCGAATACTGACCACGGAAATTATATTTAGTTGCAAAAAACTGGCCAGGTTTTTTAGTGGTTTTGAGAACATTTAAGTTTATGTACGAAACAAAAAAATTTTGTTTTACGGACATACATGGAAACATAATAAACTTGAATGTTATCAAAACATCTTTGTGCGAAAGAATAAAAAGAATATTTGCGAACACTAAAAATCCGCCAAATTAACAAAGAAACTAATTCTATTGGTTCAAAAAATACGCTGACTTAGTGAAATAAAGTTCAAGAGTATTCTGTTAAAATGTTTTAAAAAACGATTTGTTACGTTTTGAGATTTTTAGCATAAATTGTTTTAAGAATAAATATATATTATTTGTTTACAAAAATAAAAGTTTTAAATCGCTTATAATTAATACTTAACTTAACGCTGCTGCTCACCATTCGTGCACCTTTACACGGACTTTTTTACCATACTTGGCCTTTCAGTTTTATTATAAATTGCTTTACTTTTACAGTAGGCTCCTTCAAATCTTAATAATCTGTCAGTATCTGCTTAATCAGTAATGAGATCAAAAACTTTGTCTCATCAGCTTAATTAGTGATAAGATCAACAATTTTTATTTGATAACTTCTGTAGTAAAGGATGAACATTATGTTATTATTGAATTAGTAAAGTAACTTTTAAAGTCAGGTGATTTATTTAAATCATGCATTTTAGTCTTTTGTCAATTGTATTTAAATTTATTGATTTATAAAATTAATCTGTAATTTTTAAATTAAAAGACGACTCAAGAAGACGTTGCTCATTTCAAAGGTCAAGAGGTCAAACTCTTGATAAAGTTAGTGTTTAAAACACTTGCATCTCACACGGTCAACTCAATGTTACATGTTAAAGAACAAGATCGTTTAATACCTTATTTAAAAGAAGTTATAAAAATCCGTATAAAAAACCAGATTGTTTGATAGTTTGTTTTTGAAAGATGTTAAACATTTATTACGAGTTATTTCAAAAAACAAAAATAAGGTTGTATTTGTAAAGTTTCAAATTTATATATTTTTCTTAATTTATATATTTATCTATATATGTGTGTTATTTATATTGTGTTTTATTGTGTATATATGTGTTAAGGTTATATGGGTTTATATTTTGTAAGTGTGTAAATATATGAAATGTTTCAATGTTTGTGGTGTGTTATATGTAATATGTTTATAGTTTGTAAGTGATAATTATGTTGTTTGCATGGTTTCAAATTGTTGTGACTGGGCTTAGTTTACAGCAAGATTGTTGACCTTGCTAGCCAAGTGGTGTACTTTGCTATAATGTGACCTGGCTTTGTTGAGAGCAAAAATATTGTCCTCGCCAGCAGAGTGGTGTATTGTCATAATAAAACACATAAATTAATTCTGTTTGTAATTAGTGTATTTCTAAAATGTGTTGAAAAAATATTGTTGAAAAAATGTGTTTTAATGTTGTTATCCTCTGTTCTTAACAATGTATGCTTTTGACAATAAATAAATTTTGTTAAAAAGCAGGCTTTACTAACAGCTCCTCCTCATTAAAATTTTTAAGAGTTTCGATTTTCTTCATTAAATATGTTTAACTCAAATTTTTTTTATATATATAAAAGTAAGTATACAGCGTGTTGAAGCATAAGTTTTAATAACTTTTGTTAAATTTATAGGATTTTTTGTATAGAGAATGTTTTCTTTATATTATTATTTTAATGTTTTGTATGTACATCAATATATATATATATATATATATATATATATATATATATATATATATATATATATATATATATATATATATATATATATATATATATATATATATATATATAGACACACACACAATAAAATATATAGAATTAAAATGTCTATACATATATTATATGTATAGACATTTTAATTTTTTGCCTTAAATTATTGTCCCTTTTTCTTTAGAATATTAAATATCTAAAAAAAAATTAAAATAGTAAAAGAAGTTTCAATATTTCCAAGTTTCTTCACTTGAAGCAAATATATGATTGTTTATAGAGGTTCTTTTAGTAGTTTTGTATTTATTTATTGCAAATCTTGCGTTAAATGCCTTTCAAAGTAATGAAAGGGTTTTGTTGATAGATGATTACATTTTATCCTTCCTTGCTAGCAGTACTTGCTGAGTTGACAGGCCTTAAATTTTTTTAATTTGCTTTATTTATGAGTTCTTATATGTAAAAAATTTGTTTTTTAAATTACATTTTTTTTTTGTTTTTTTTTTTTGATTAAATACTTATAATATTTTGTCAATAATTAATAACAACTACCATAAATATATAAACAATACTTAGTTGAAAATATTATATTAATTTATAACTTTAGTTTAAGTTTTTAATAAAACTATGTTATCTTAACACAATGCTATATATGGTAGAATATAATAGATTATAGTATTATGCTCTGTATTATTTGCTTACACTTTATTTTAGATAAGTTTAAAAAAGAAACTTCAACTTTTATTATATTAGGCATCATTTTTACACACTCCTTTGATGCCTAATTATGCCTAATAATTTAAGAAATGAAATTATTAGACTTCGTCAAAATGAAAGAAGGCAGGCTAGGCGAGCTGAGATAAACCGCCGTCGAAATGAAAGAGATGAGCCCAGGCGAGCTGAGATTAATCGTCGTCGAATTGAAAGAGATGAGTCCAGGCGAGCTGAGATAAATCGTCGTCGAAGAGATGAGCCCCGGCGAGCTGAGATAAATCGTCGTCGAATTGAATGAGATGAGCCCCGGCGAGCTGAGATAAATCGTCATCGAATTGAAAGAGATGAGCCCCGGCGAGCTGAGATAAATCGTCGTTGAATTGAAAGAGATGAGCCCCGGCGAGCTGAAATAAATTGTAATCAAAATAAAAGAAATCAGGCTAGGCGAGAACTTAATAGGTATAATATGCATCGCATAGCAAGAAATAATATTGCTATAGAGAGTAACTACCTCGGAGAGTTAAACCATAATTGTCAGTATTGCAGTGCAAAGAAGTTTTTAAATAAAACTCATTTTTTGTGCTGCCATTCAGGAAAAGTTGTATTAGCTCCTCTTTCTCTTTATCCGCCATTGTTGACTGGTTTAATGACAGGAAACCATGTTGATCATGCTGTAAATCAAAATTTTTTTAAACACATAAGGAGTTATAATTCCTCTTTATCTTTTGCTTCTTTCACTGCCAAAATAGCTCCTCTCTCAAATAAAGGCCCTTTCTGTTTTAGGGTCTGTGGGCAAATTTTGCATCGTGTTGGAAATTTAAGGCCTGCAGAAGGTTGTCTGCCCAAATATTGTCAGTTGTATATCTATGATCCTAATGCAGCTTATTACATTGATTGATTGTTTTTATTGCATTTTTAATTTTCTTTTATTTATCTCTAGCTGCTGCTTCTTCTGTTACAAGTAAGTTGTTCTATTCACTTATACTTGACTTAATTTATGGATTAATTGGTTTTATTGCATTTTTAACTTTCTTTTATTTATCTCTAGCTGCTGCTTCTTCTGTTACAAGTAAGTTGTTATATTCACCTTTACTTGACTTATTACATCGATTGATTGCTTTTATTGTACCTTTTGTTTTTTAATATAGCTACAAATGTGCTTTCCAGTTTAATTAGTTAATGTAATAAATCAAGTATTAGTGAGTAAAATAAATTAGTTGTTGTGCTCACTTGTACTTAATTTATTACATTATTTGCTTTTATTGTTTTTTTACAGTAGATTTTTTGTAAGTATTACCTAGGTAGATAGTTGTATTTATATATAATTTTTTTTTCAGGCTCGAAGTCATGGGAAGATTTCCGAAAGTATCGCTCCCAGCATCCAGGCCCTCTATCTATGAGGGCCTTCCATCGCTGGTGTTTGTATGGGGACGACCATCCCTCCTTTAGATGGAGGGATGGCACCCCATACAACACGGGGAATAGAGCGGATGCTGGGAGGAGAAGACAACGCGGCTCAAAAGTTGTCAATAATTTTTTTTACATTTTAAAATGTAAAGAAATTGACAACTTTTGAGCAACTTCATTTTTTTTTTTGTAATTTTTGTGTTGTTTTTTAATTTTTCCCGTGAATGTTAAATGTTATCAAAGTAAATCATTTAAATAAAGACACCTTTATCAACAATGCTCATTAACTAGAAATAAAAGTCACGGTCATACATTTGATAAAGTTAATGTTAATCTCAAAGGGATTTGGTTTTCACACAATCAAATTCTATGTAGCACCTTCCAGAACTAAGAATATAAGTGTGTGGTGTTAGTAGTTTAAAATATGTATAATAAACTCAGAATAACTCAATAACCCTCAACCTAACTATGAACTAATTTTGAAATTCAAGTTGAGCTTTTTTATTTATTAATACCTCCCCTCCCAATAACTCTAATTTTCCTTAAAAAACTAATTTTTTTGTCCTTTGAAGGTGGTTCTGCTATTTAATTAATTGTTGTGATGTTTTATGCAAATAGATTTAGCTCACATTCATGTTGGTCTGTCAGGGTTATGTAAAAATAAAAAAGTAAGTTTCTTATTCGCATTTTTGAGTTTTCAAAAGTATTGATTGCATGACATGTTAATTTGTAATTAATGTGTATGATTATGCGTTTAAATAACTTTTCCATTTTTAGTTCCGTTTCTTATAGCTGACTTAATTATGGCTTACCTAAAGCTTAATATTTATGAAACAATGATTCAATTTAAATTGTATTATGAGTAGCTCTGTTGAATAAATTTTTTTTTTGTAATTTGTACTTAAGGTTATATTTTTATTTTATATCAAGAAAAATATGTTTTTAAGTAAATATCTATTTTTTTATTTTGGGATTTATTGTTTTAAATGGACATAAAAATCATTTTTGCTTTGTCTTTCATATTTCTTTTTATTATATATGAATAGGAACCATTAATGCTTTAATCACCATTAGCACTCGAAGTTTCCATTTGCATTAAGTATCGATTTTTGGCACACACAACAGGTTTAATAACTTAAACAGTAAAAACAGCTTGAATGATTTGTTAAGAGTCTTTAAAGAAACGCTTTTACGAAAAGCATTAAATAGATAAAGCTAACTTATTTAAAATAATAAGTCTTTAACCCGTTTTTCTATATCCAAATTTACTTTTTAAATAAATGTTGATGAAAGGGTAAAATATCGTTATAGCCTACGTTAATTTAAAATTCTTTTTAAATTAAAGGAAAGTTTTGATACTTATTTAAATAGGGTTAATAAAATATTTTAAATTATATTATATATATTATATTTAAGAAATTATTAAACTAAATTAAATAAGATTTTTAGATTAAACAGTAAAAATAATTGTTTAAAATACGTGCGTGCAAATAATTCCTACAAATACTAAACGTAAAATAACGCTTACAAACACCAAAAGTATGTTTGCAGTGAATAAAGTTAAGTTCAAAGATAAATAGGAAGAAATGTTTAAAACTGTTTCAATAATAACATTTATTTTTAATTACTTTTGTTGTAAGTTGGGATGAAAAAAAAAGGTCACTGGAGTATGAACTCCCGGGGTGAGATGACTATATCTGTCTAAGTGTTGCGCGTCTACCAATTAGCCCATAAACGTATTTTCTATTTAGAATTTAAGATTATTTATGACGCATAAGAAGTGTAATTAAAAATTCAAAACCAACTTTGCAACAACTGAATTTAAATAAAATCTAATTAGATGTGTATATGTTATGAACGTTAACTAAGGCGTACTTTAACGGCGTCACGTGTTGAATGTTTTAGCATTTTTCTAAGTTCGTAGTCTTTTTTACGTTTTTTCTTATTAAAATTTTTATAATCGGCATAATATTAAAATCGTTTGAAGTTTTTAAAAGAACATTTTAACAGAAATGTTTTTGTCATATCAAAAAGTAAGTATAGTTTTTTATATGTACATTTTTAAACGGTTTTAAAAAAATATTGGAATAAGTATAGAAAAGGTCAGTGTGGAATAGATTTACTATGACCCGTAGTTTACGTCCGGATAGCTATAGATAAGTATAAAAATGGTCGGTTCGGTAAAGACCCGTATTTTACGGGTCACCCCAGCTAGTATATATTAAATTGCCTAAATTTTAAAAGTTTATTATAAATTATAGATTTTATTAGTATATTCTTATTTTTTATTTAAAAAGTATGTATTTTTTATGTAAATGTAATTTCGTGTATCTGTTTATTATCGTAATGTATCTTTTAAAGCAATTTTTATGATTTAAACAAAGACTTAAAAAATAATTGCGTTTTCAATGAAGTTATAATCGTTATAGTTAATAAAACTAATTATGTAACAAACATAAGAAGTTTCTGGTTACTAAACACAAAGTAACTCGCAGATGAACAAGCACCGCGCCTGAGGTCACGACAGAACACAAATATATATAGCAAATAATTAGATATAAAGAAAAGTTGCTAGATATTGGTTTACTAACTCTAATTATTTTCGCTTAAGTTGCCATTCTTAAAACTCGTTATACTTTTTTCTGCTTTAAATACTAATTAAAATTAAAAAGCCCACTCACTAAACATTTCAGTTTCGCTTCCTCGTCATAAAGTATTCTTAACCTTAAGTTGATTTCTATATTGTTAATTTAATTTCTATAGTAATTCAAGCATTTAATTACTTCATTTGTTTATCTTACTAAAAAGAATTGCTTCAAATATGTTAAACTTTTCAAACTACGCGAAACATAAAATAGGTATTGAAAAAATTAACTTTATTATTTATAAAATAATTGAGCTTAAATAAAACTAAAACTTGCAAACTTTGTTAAATAAAGAATATTTATTTCCTTTTTAAACAATCTTAAGTTGTTACTTTATATAAAAAAACATTGCTTAATTTTATAAAAAAAATTATAAAAGAGCGATGTTTCGAAAATATTTGTTCTAAACGTAATTTATTTAGCTTTAAGTTTTTTCGCGTTTAAAGATATTTTAATTACCTAATTTTTTTTGTAATTGTCTCTCATCTGTCCAAATAATCTTGAGTGTTTTTTTTTTTTTTGCTTTTTAAAATGTTCTCAAAACGACTAAAAAATCTGGCCAGCTTTTTGTAACTAAATATTATTTACATGGTCAGCAATCGAGACCGATCACTCCCGCTTCCCGACCAAGCCTATAATCATATATATATATATATATATATATATATATATATATATATATATATATATATATATATATATATATATATATATATATATATATATATATATATATATATATATATATATATATATATATATATATATATATATATATATATATATATATATATATATATATTAGGGTGTCACATCTACCATATTTATAATAAGGTATATGTAATGTTCCACCAATGCAAAAGCAACAACTTTTATTAGGAATTCTGTAAAGCACAATTCTTAAAGGCACAACAGAGTTTACTTCCGATAATGCTTGTCCTCACATTACAAAAATAATATGAAAAATTTTTTACTGAAAAAAAGTCTCCATCTTCCTCTTTTGTGACTTAGCACAAACAGATTATTACTAATTCTAATCACTAAGCAACAGCTTGCACAATAAAAGATTTAACTTTATTTAAGGATTTTCTTTGATTAAAAATCAAAAAAAATTCTACATCAATGGGATATGTTTTTATTTAAACATTGGCAAGAGACCATAGACAAAGATCTTGCATATATTTTTAAAAATAAGTTGAAGAATTAAAAATAATAATTTTTTTTTTGAAAAAAAGCTCATTTCTTTTTAGCCAACTTAATGTAATCAATAACTTAGCTAAATATAGAAAATACTTACACGGGATCACTTGACTTTAAACCAGGACATGTCAAACTACTTGTGTTTCCATCATTCTAAGCAAAAATAAAATATTGAACAAGTACAACAATAAAATATTGAAAAAGAAGCAATTACTAAATATTTTGATGAACATTGAACTGAATGAAAAACAATGAATTGAACAACTACTGAAATAATTTAATGAACAATTAAAGAGTTTGTTAAACAAAAAAAATATTAAAAAATGATAGGCTAAATAAAAGTCTTTAAAAAATAAAATCTAAAAACAAATTAGAAGTATACTAATTTAAAAATTATCTTTATATATATTAAATAATATTATATATCAAAAATATATATATTAATATTAAATAATATTATATATTGAAAATATATATATTAATATTAAATATTATATATTTAAATTTTAATATTAAATAATATTATATATTAATATTAAAAAATATATATGTTAATATTAAATAATATTATATATTAAAATATTAATATTAAATAATATTATATATTAAAAATGTATATTAAATAAATTTTTTTAACTTATAAAAATCTTTCAAGCATTAACAGCAAACTACTCCATCTTGTTTTACATCTTCTTGTTTTACAATTTTAATAGATAAATTTTTTTCCAAAATAATTTTTTATGTATTTTTGAAGACAGTTTAAATTTTAGTTTATGATATTTTAATGTATGTGTAATATAGTATATGATTTTTTAATATATTATAGATAGGATATATTATTTAATATATTATATATAGTATATTTATATATAGTAATATATTAAATATATATATTTATATATAGTAATATATTATATATAGTATAATATATTATATATAGTATAATATAATATTACTTCGATTGTAACAATTTTTATGATTTTAAAACTACAGTTTGCTCAAAATTATGAACCTGTTCATATTATGAAGCACCTATTCATATTTTGAAGCACCTGTTCATATAAATATAATTGCTTTTTAAAAAGTAAAACAAATGAATTTCTTTCAAAATTGTATTTTATTTTAATGTTTATGCATAAATAAAATATTAAATATATGTTGGATTATGAACTTTTCTGTAAGTTCACAATCCAATATAAATTTAATATTTTATTGATAACATAAATAAGTATAAATACAATAGAATTCTGATCATGTAAAGCTTATCAGTAATTAATACAGGGTTGGAAAAAACCCAGGATTTTTTAAAAAAACCCAACCCAAATGGGTTTTATTGGGTTTTATGGGTTTTTTTGAGTTTTTTTAAAGACCAATCAAAATACCAAATTTTTATAATTGTATGTGTACAATAACTTTATTTTAAAACTGTTGCAAACTAGTTTTTTATACTATCATGTTCAACATATCATTTCAAAAACTAGTTTGCACAAGACTACAACATGTAATCAACAAGTTTGCAACATGATGTTGCAAACTTGTAAGTTATTGTCAATCAGGATGATTTATGAACACTTTTTAAACATTTTTGCATCATAGAAGAAAACTGTTAGCCTAATCACTACATTTTTTTTAACACAACATTAAACAGTCTAACTTCCTGTAAAAGTTGTTGGCCTGATCAACATTATGCAGTAATCATCTTAATTTTTTACTTTACATGATCATGTTCATGTTTTTAAAATGGTGTGAGAGTAATGATTAGGTGATTTTAGATGATATTGACACTTCATAGTGTTTTTATTTTTTATGAGGAGATTTGTTTTGCAAATGGATTTTTGCCTTAGCTTTGGTTGTTCTTAAAATATCTAAAATGAATTTGTTAAGAACCATTAAAGTGCCTTGACCATCAGATTCTTTTTTTCCTTGAAGATGTTTTACCAATTCAGTTTTGCAACTGAATCAACGTCACACAATATATAGCTCTATTGTGTGTGTTTCTTCACCTTTTAGGAACTTGATACTGATGTTCATTTTCAGCCCACTGTTCATAGTCAACCCTGTTGGTGGTACATGTTGTAAACTTGTAGCTGATGCAAAATATTTAAAACCTTAAAAAGACAGATGAGCACGAGTATCATTTTTACCAACAAATCTTGTCCTTGTGAAGTGCATACAAGTTTTCAACATGTTCTCTCATTGAATGAGCAAACATTTTGCAAACTTGCTTACACATAACTTAATTTTTTTTTTATGTTCTAAAGTTGTATGCACTTAATAAGGGCAAGTCTAGTAAACTGTAGCACTTTTTTTTGCCTGACAACTTTCCATTTCTAAACTGTGAATAAAGTTTAATAACTTTTATATATAGTATTTTGCTTGCGGGTTTGTACTGAATTTTGCAGTTTACAACATAAGCTTTAAAAAATAAAAGATCAAATACCAATATAAAATGACATATATAAAACGCTTATAGACAATATAGACATTCGTGAGGAGAATAAAGATACTAAATAACTAGTAATGTCTTGAAATTTAGTTAATAGAATCATTTTTATTTCCTTTATAAGTATTTAACTAATTTAATGTTTTAATAGATATTTCAATAACATTTATAACAACTTGCTATATGTTTTAAAAAAGTAATAAATAAATCTTCCAAAGACCTGGCTAGTGACCTGTGGAAATACAAACAAATTAAAGTTTCTGCTTCTACTGTTAGAAAATACTTAAAGAAGTTAATTTACATGGAAAGGGCAATTTATTCTATATAACAGTATTCTTTTTTTAAAACAGCTTTAACAAGGCTGCAAGTAATCCTTAATTAAGTTGGGAGTTAACAGAAACAAAATACATTAAAAGACTGATAACTACATTAAAATGCAATTAAAACTAGACTCATAAAGCTTTCATTTTTTTAATGTACTGAAAAGTACATTGAAAAATTGAAAACTGTATGAGTCATGAAAACGTAAAGATGGTAGAGAACTCTAAAGCTTCAATGTTTGGGGGAAAACATGATAGATGAATAAATTTTAACTTTAAGGAGCTGTTACAGTAAAACGATGCAACTTTGCTAAATGACTAGTCATTCAAGAGTTTTGGCTGTTAGAACAAGTAATGACAGTAAACTTGATCAGCAACCATGGTAGCATTTGTAAAAAAGAGATGCAATCTTACAACAATAGGACAAAAACTCATACTTAGCAGCTAAAGCAGCACCATTAATATTTACAATGTGGTTTTGGACCTTTTCTAAAACAGAGAGGGTCTTATTAGAAGAATTAGCTCGAATATGAGAATAATATTCCATACAAAAAGAAATAAAAATGTAGAGACTGCAATCAGGAGTAAAAAAGTGGCAAGCTTAATAAAGAGAGACAACCTTAGCATATGCTAACTTTGAAATAGATTGTATATATAGTTTCTATGAGAGGTCAGTAGTGAATGATAATTCAAAATGACTTAAAGTAGAGGTGATGATGATGATGATGATGATGATGATGATGATGATGATGATGATGATGATGATGATGATGATGATGATGATGATGATGATGATGATGATGATGATGATGATGATTGATAATGGTGATCATAATCGTGACCATGATGGTAATTTTAATTGTAAATTTTTGAACAATGTTTCCTAATATTTTATTACAATTGAATAAAGCTGTTTACACTAACCTGATAATGGTTTTACTTTATTAGGCCGAATCCTGGTTAAAATCAAGCTCTAGTTAGTCACTATATACTATCACATGTTTTGTTGTTGTTGTAAATAAATTAATTTAGGGGAAAAGTAAGGTAGTTCATTTTGCTACAGAAAAAATAAAAACAGAATTGATAAGTATCTACAAGAGTGAGATGCACAAGTAGTGCAACTTGTTTTAGAAACTTTTTAGAATTTTTTTTTTAAAGAAAACAATATGTAATAATTTTAGATCAACAAGGAGTTTAAGAATACTTGATTGAAGAAAGTAAACAAAACAGTGGTTTGGTATAACAATATTATAATCACTCACCCACCATATGTAGATTAATGTTACTACCAATACTAATATTCCAGAAACAGCAAAAACCAAATAATCAGTTCCAACATTTGATATCAAATCTCTCATTATTAAATTATTTAATAAACTGAAGCAACTTTATCTACAAATGATATACAATAAATTTTAATATTGAATACTAATATTTACTTTTAAATAACAATAAAAAGCAGTTTTTGAAATTTTTTTTTTAATTGAATATAGAAGTGATTAAGGTAAATTTATTTAATTATACTATAATTTATAGTCATTTCTTATTTTAGTTTATGCTTTGTTTTTGTTTGCTTGTTTACTTACGGTAATTCCCCCTTTAGCAAAACTATGAGAGAGTAAAACATCATTACAATACAAAACTAAATCATCAACATTATCCATATAGTTTATATATTCTAAAATACTGAATCTTCGCATTACGCATTCTTGTAATTTTTTGTTATTGTTGTTGTATTTTCGCACGCTTTATATTTCTCATATTGGCGGACACGCTGGCACGTCATTAGTTGTCTCTGCCCCCCCCCCCCCCTTCTCTCTCAAAAGCTATTTAACAAATTAATATATATATATATATATATTACAAATACAAATACAAATTAATATAAATTAATATATTAGTATTTTTTTAAAGATTTTCTTTAATAACTTCATAACATTACATTCAGGGCCGGATAAGAGGTAATGCGAGAGAAGCGATTGCATCGGGCCTCGCGCTAACAAGGGTCTTGCGGAGACTGTTAAAATGCTATTGAAAGAATAAAAAAGAATAATTTTTTTAAGTCAATTTTGGAACATCATATTAGAACACTTCGATATTAAAACTATTTGATAAATATATTTGAAAATATTTTATTGTACGAATTATCAAACCATCAGTCAAGAATTTAGAGTATTTATAAACTTAATGTAATATTTTCTATTCAAAGCACAAGTTCAATTAACGAGTAAGTTTTCTTAAAAAAAATGTATATATAACTACAGCAATACAGAGCCATGATAATAAAACTTTTATTGATGTTTTCGTAAAAAAACTGAAAGAAACGAATCAAAATATATGGTCTTAACAAATTTATTGTTTGAAGGTTTAGTTCACAAATATTGCTTGTCAACTTTGAATTAATCTAGACAGTCAATCAATACAACGTATATATTTATATTTGTTATTTTAAAAAAATTGTTCCTTATTTACTGAAAATTTTTATTAAGAAAATATATATATTTTTTTTCAAAGTGTTTTTCTTGTAACTTATGGCATCTTTTACTTTGTTGTTTAGATCATCTAGTTAAAATGTGGAAACAAACAAAACGAGATAGAGATATAGGAAGAAAATTCGAAAGTGGCAGTACAAAAAAAAATTAACTGCAAAAAGAAAAGCAGATAGTGATAAACTCAAAGTGCTTTGAAGTAACCCGGTAGAAAATTGGCTAGCGATATTCGCTACGATTAAGACAGCGATTTGACCACGAGGATCGCTAGTTTTATAAGCTAGCTATCCGCTAGCTAAACAAACTAGTAAATAGCTAGCATTAAGTCGTTACGATTAAGACAGCGATTTGGTCGCTAGGATCGCTAGCTTTATAAGCTAGCGATCCGCTAGCTAAAGAAGCTAGCGAATTGCTAGCATTAAGGGTGAAATGCAAGAAGCGAACTTGAGCCAAGCTCGACTTGAACTTTACATTGCAACCAATAGCAACAGAGTGTGGGTTTTCCCCTCAAAAAATACTCTGCCGCTATTAGTTACAAAGTAAAGTTCAAGTCGAACTTGACTCAAGTTTGCTTCTTGCATACCACCCTAAGTCGTTACGATTAAGACAGCGATTCAACCACGAGGATCGCTAGCTTTATAAGCTAGCGATCCGCTAGCTAAACAAGCTAGCGACAAGTCGTTACGATAAAGACAGCGATATGACGACGAGGATCACTAGCTAAATAACAGCGATTTGGCCACGAGGATCGCTAGCTATATATGCTAGCGACTAGCTAGTGAAAACTCGTGAGAATAACTACAACTGTTAGGCTAGAAAATATCGGCTAGGTTAGAAGATATGTTCAAACAATCGCGTGCTATATTTTTCAGGGGAGTGAATTATAATTTAATTTAATTTGTGATAAATTGCATTTATAACAAATTAAATTCAAAATGTTAATACTTGTTTCCATAAAAAGTTATAAATGTTAAAACCATTATAAAATGTTAAAAGAAAAAAGATATAGATTACTTTTGAAAAATAAAAAGTCATTGACAACTAAATGATTTTGCTCAAATTAAATTAATAATTTTAAAAGATATTTAAAAAGAAAATATAATAAAATTCCTGTTAAATTTTAGTTTTTTTTTATCTTTATCAACTTTCAAAAATACTTGCTAAAAAAGTTGTAACAAATAAAATATCTAAAACAAAGTGAATAAATAATAATAGAACAAATAAAAAAAAATAAGTTAACTGGAATCACTACACGAGTCAGTATTTAAATTTCTTTTATAACAGGACTGCGTACTTGTATATCAATTATTAAAGATGAATTTTTCTTTCTTGTAGCAAAATAAAGATCTTTAGATTTGTTCAAGAGTTTCGCAATTATGGTAGTCATACTAAATTCAGTGGTAGTTGGAAATAAACAGTAAGCTGCATCAAAAATCAAACTTTCGACTGGTCCTATAAACCTACGCTTTTTATTTGCACCAGTTCGATTAATGCTGCAACATAGCAAGTTTTTAAAGCATTTTTTGAAAAGTCACTTAGGGTAACGCGGGGCAAAATGAGACAGCGGGGCAATACGAGACAGTTCGCGTTTAACATAATGCTAGCCCTACAAATTATTATTTGCAAGATTTTTAAAAGTGCAGTTGTGTTCAAAAACTATTTTGTGTCATGAAAAATATATTGAGTCACTTTGAAATAAAAAAGTTGAGTAAAAGGGGAATCATTTCATCTCTCGGCTTCGCGAAAATTACGAATTTTTAAGAGTTGTTATTATATTTTTTCCTAGCCTTTTTTGATCTCACTGAGTGGAAAAGCTTTTTATATTTAAAGTTTTTTTTTAATTAGAATCTTTAGGCCTTTTTCTTTTAGTATTTTATTTCTTCATTAAAATAGTCTGGAAATTAGGCTGTTCGATGCCAACATGATGCGGGGCAAAACGAGACATTCTGTTTGTATTTTTTTTTTGCCGATATCTAATATTATGTTTATTTAGTTTTTTACATTAAAACAACAACCAAAGCAAATATTAATGTTTACATGCTGTAGATTTAAATTTATTATACTGTATTTACTTACTTTTTATTTTGTTAATTGAAATGTTTAGTTGTTATCCAATATAGAATTACGTTTTATATTTTGTTAACTTATATTTAAATATAAAAAATATTTAATCAAATTGAAGCAAATAATTGCCTGATGTTTATAATTACTATGTTTGTATTTTATAATCTTATTGTATTGTAATGTAATAAAGTAAGTAGTATATAAAATATATAGTGAGTAGATTATAAAATATAGGTTATTGCAGTACCTATAAACAAAATACAATGAATGTTATGCGTGCTTTAAATACATAAGTTTAATATATGCATGTATGGTTTTATTAGTTCTTGTAGTGGATATATATATATATATATATATATATATATATATATATATATATATATATATATATATATATAAGTGGAGTCAATTTTCAAAATGCACAACCTGGGCTCATTCGGACTGTTGTTCGTTTCAAAGTACTGGTCAAGCAATATGTGATTTATGTGACTAGTGACAGTTTGATTATAGCTGTAATATATTATAAAATGTATTACTTGCTAATCCTCTTAAAGATCTGTTTTTTTTAACTTTATTTATTTAAATTACTAAAAAAAAAATCTGTCTCATTTTGCCCCGGTATGCGGGGCAAAATGAGACAGGATGCCGCATTTGTAAATGCATGATTATGTAAATGCACGCCGCATTTACATAATCGTTATGCATTGTCTTTATTTGAAGGCCATCTTCCGTTAATGTTTGACACGAGATCTCCAATCATCCATAATCCAATTTTTTAGCCTCTCTGACATTATTATGACACAGTTTTTTAATACCAGAACTTCACTGTCACAGTACAAATTAACAATATAATTCATCTGAAACAAAACATTTGTAAAAATATAACATAAAAAATATACACTTATTGTTTAGATTATACGCAGGTATTTTCTAAATGATAAATATTCAAGTTAAAATAGTACAAAGACTTCAAAGGAAACCATAGATCTTCTGCTAAATAATATAGACATAAACTCAACAAATTTTTTATCACATTCAGATGCAATAACGTGATAAGCAATAAAATGGTCATAATACCATCTAGATTAAAAAATAGCTGTAATTTTACTAACCCACTGTTGCTATCTTTATTTTTTTAATTTAACGATAAATTATGATGGCCATGCAATACAATAAAATGTCTTTATATGACATAAAAAATTTTTATCCAATTCTTTTTACCCAATTTATAGACTGTTTGTAGATTCCTGACTATTTTGACTGAAATTATCTCAGAAATCACAAGACGTGTTTAGTATGTATAAAAAAACAGGCTATGTTTTAATGCGGATCTTTTTTAAATGTCTACAATATGTCTTGTGATTACTGCGATAAACATCGATTTTATTGGCTTATTGTGGGGTATCAAAAATATACTCTTTTTTTTTTAAAAAAAATCCAGCCTATATATTTATACATATATATATATATTTTAAATGTGTTTTGCATGTTTAAGAATAGTTTTTTGCGGACCAAATGCTGCTGGACATTTTAGAGTATAAAGTTTAGACCTCGGCATTACCAAAAAAAAAAAAATTTTTAATATAATAATATTTAAACAAAAACTCTAAAATCTTACACAATTTAATAACCAGAGTTTTTTTCAAATACTTGATTAACTACTTTGAGTAAGACATCAAAACTTATAACTAGTTTTAAATACCCAACAATCTAGAACTCGATTTTCTTAATGTTCTCAAAACTATCTATACAACATCAAAGCTTTTGATAAAACATCAAAAAATCTCTTATTACACCTAAACCTACGATCAAAGATTCTTTAAATAAATTTAAAGTAATAATGATAATTTTTTAACATACGCAGGTAATCCGGTGGGAATTAGGCTAGCAAATAGCTAGTTATAATCGTAACGATTAAGACAGCAACTTGGCGACAAGGATCGCTAGCTTTTTTAAGTTAGAGAAAAACTATCGATATTTGTAAACATAAGGACAGCAATTTGGCTACGAGGACAGCAAGTTTAATAAGCTAAAGACCCACTGGCTATTGTACTAACGTCATATCGTAATAAAATCGCTATCTAAAAAATCTTTATATGTAGCTATCACCCAACTATAGATATGTAGATATTTTGTAGTTAGCTAGCGACATATCGTAGCTACAAAGCTACGATATGTCGACATCTTGCTACAAAATGTAGCTATCAACACATTGCTACGAAATCGCAATGTTTAAAGCTCAATTATTCTTATAATTATCATAGACTCAACACTAAAAATCATGTTTTAAAAATATTAAAAACATTAGGAAAAAAAAAAAGTAAGAAAAAAAAAAAAATGCTTGAAAATTGTATTAAGCTAGCTAGTCGCTCGCTTGTCCTCGTTAGTCGTTCGCTAGTCGTTCATGTCTCACCGGAAACGGATCCTCAAACATCCGAGTGCCCGTCAACAGACATACTTGTGTGTACAACAATGCTTGGGTAGCATTATCAAATGATGGGTATCAAATGACGGGTCATTTGATACCCATCATTTGATACCCATCATTTGATACCGATACGGGTCAAGTCTAAAACATTTTTCAGCGGGAAAACATTTAGTTAGAAAATCACGCCTCCTTCATTACCATTGTCGTTTATTAGGCTGGAGCCGGCATTGAACCAAGGACCTCTGGGTTCTGAGCCAGAACTCTAACCACTGCGCCACCCCTGCTCAAATAATCTCTTCCTAAAAAGAAAAATTCTGTTTGAAAAAAAAAAGTAATTGCAACACCAACATATTAAAATTTTAGATACGAGGGAAAAAATACAATTCTAAATAAATCATTGAATGAAAAGTTTTTATTGACTGTTTATAAGTATAACTTTTATAACAAACTATTATTTTCACGGGTACTCGTATATACACGGGTATATTAAAATAGTAATAAAATAAAATAGACAGGTAAACCCACCCGTTCCTCGACGGGAACATGGGAAAACATTTAAAGGTTATTGACAGCCTTATACGCAAGAAAATATAACTTTTCTTTTTAGTTCTCTTTATTTTGTTTGGTTCTTTGGGGTACCCATGTTATTATTTTAAGAATGTCGAGACTGGTACTCCAGGGACTTCTTGTTTTAAATTTACACTTTTTATCTCATAAATAGTAAAAGTAGATTTAAAATTAACCTTTTTTATGATTAGAAAATTATAAAAATAGTATAAAATGAAAAAAAAGCTGAATCCTCTGATTTCCGTATCACTTTTTCCCTTTACATGGTGTTTTACAATGTTTACATTATATTTATACACGCAAATGTATATTTCACAATGTATATATTGGATATTTTAGAGTTACATAATCTGTTATGACATTTTGGCAATGTATAAAAGTTTTTTTTATTTTTGCACTAATGCCCAGTTAGCTGTTGCATCACGCATTACACACTTAAAAAAAAAAGGTATAAATATTTACCTTTACGGCAGACACGGGTCTAGCACTTTTTGATGTTTGAGCTAATTTCCAGAAATGGAGCAAACTCCAAACATTTCTATGTTTATACTCATGTCAAATAAAGATGTTTTGGAGAAAATTGCGATGGTTGGAGCCTGGAAGCAAAACAGTCCTAAAATTTTTGCTTCCTACCTCCAACGTGAGAGCAACAAATTGATAAAATTTTTTTGTAGTATTCTTAATTAAATAAACATTCATTGATAAACTTTAAATTTCATAGTAAAATATTTCAGCATTTAAATATTATGACCATAAAAAGTTTGAACTCCTCTTAATTTGAGGAAGTTATAAATTTTATATGGTCATAATTTTTGAACGTTATACAATGAAACTTAAAATTTATCGATGAATATAAGTTTAGTTAAGAATTGTACAAAAATATTTCATCAGCTTGTTGTTCTCACGTTTGGGGCAGGTAACGAAAATTTTGGGGTATTTTGTTCCCAGGTTCTAATCATTGCAATTTTTTGCAAAACATTTTTATGTGACCTAAGTATAAACATAAAAATGTTTGGAGCTTGCTTTTGGATAATAGTTATATTAAAAATCAAAAAATACTGGATCCATTGCTTTAGAGTATATCACATATTCTACCGCTTTATGGTAGAAAATTATACCTATAAGGTTAAAAATTTAACTAAAAATAACGACATGCGGTGTAACTTTCTGCCTTAAGTATATAACAATCTACCTTAAAGGATATGTAAAACTAAAATGTAACTCGTCTTCAGGCCATCAATAGTCAATGGTTTGTTTCTTAACAGTGTTAAAAATTATTTCGTATCAGATTAAAATGTTTAAACTTTAAAAGCTTGCTCTTTTTAATTTGTGTACTTTTATAAGTTTAGCTGTTGCATCATAATCTTTCATTTATGAGCTTCAATCGCCTTATGAATGTTTTTGTTAGACTTAAAGCGCATGAATAGAATTTATTAACACCGTTACGCAAACTATTTGTCCCTGGTTGTGCAAACTATTTAATTGACTTCCGTCAATTACAAGATTTTTAAAATAAAAAATCAAAAAGTATAGATTATTAGATGTTTTTATGTTATTAGTATTTTGTAAAGATTTGAAATTATTAGATATAAGATTTAAATATAATTTAAAGTTATGTTTATTACTTTATCCTAGAAAAATTGTTTCAGTATATTTAATTTTATTTTTAAAAGCACAAAAAAATAAATATTTTTACTACTTCAATGAATGAAAATTAATTTTTTTATCAACAAACTCTAGCTATGCATTTATTATTTGAACTTTTATTACTGGTATTCAGCAAATGTGATTCTTTACAATTGGAAGATTTTTATGATTATACAAGTGCTCGGATCTTGACAGATTTTAATATACATATTGATTTGCCAATAACATACCCACATTGGTCGGATGTCAATAACACCCAAATTGACGTATGTTTTTATAATTTAAGTTTATAATAGTTTTACAAAGTATAATTAGCGATTTGTTTGAGAATTTAAATTATTACTTCATGAAAAACTGCCTAAAACATCCAGAAATTCGCTCTTGGGAAATATTTTGGCCTAGATTATCTATACACCTTTTAGGGGACCCTAAATCTCACTTTTAAAAAGCTCCAAAAAAATAAACGTCTTTTTATTTTAAGGTTTTTACTGTCCAGAATAAAAATTTCACTTTAAAGAAAAATTTTCCCTCGGCCTTAGCGTTCTTAAATCTTTATCTTTTTAACAACATACAAAGACTTCATGAGCACAGTGCAAATTTTTATAATAAGTGTAATATTATGGAATGTGGTTGTATAATTTGTTATACTATTTCCACTATTAGGTAGCTCTTTTTTCGTTCTTTATATAAATTTACTGCTCTGTTTTCTTTCCAAGCCTCCCTATTTTAATAAACCAAAATCAATCTTTAAACTTCATAAGAAGTTTGGAAATAAATTTTACTTTCTACAATGTGGCTGGATAACTCAGTTGGTTAAAGCGTCAAACGAAAAGTTGGTTAAAGCGTCAAACAAAACAACAATTTTCTTTCATGTTTCTGTAGCTTTATATTTTAGTTTTTAAGACTTCTTGGATGATGTGCAATTGTGTACAGATGCAATCCCAAGAAATCTCTAACTTTAATTATCAAATAATATCAGATATTAATAAACGTTTATTAAACACTAACTTTCATATTAATTTCCAACTTTTTGAACCAGAACTTCTGCTTATCTTGAAGTACAATTATATACAAGTAAATGAACAAATATACGCTGTCAAAAACAGACCGAGACTTTGAAATCCGTGGATGACAAAAACAAAAATTTAATATTTCAAATATACTCCTAAAAAATTTTTATTTCATAGTTTTTTTCACAAGAATATCTGATAGACGGCAATGATAATCAATACACTCAAATTGTCTGTCAGAGTTAAACCGTTCACTTTTATATTGTTGAGTTTAAAACTTTTAGGTAACTTTTTTGAGGGAAATTTAAAAAAATAACATCTAGCTGACAAAGACATACGTAAGACGTCTAAATGATGCTCTTTGCCAACTGGGTATATGAACTGCTTCGTTTTTATTAATGACCATCTCATGCGTTAAAATTGATAAAGAAATACAAAGGACTAATAATAAAACTCAACAAGTTTTATTATTAGTCCTTTGTATTTCTTCAACAGTTGGTTTTTATAAATAATAGTATAACGTCTTAGAGAGTCTTAGAAGCGTAATGCCCTGCCAATCATCTTCAAGTCTTCAATCAAATCTTAAATTCTTATAAGATTAGTTAATTTTTATTAAAATAAGTAATATATATATATATATATATATATATATATATATATATATATATATATATATATATATATATATATATATATATATATATATATATATATATATATATATATATATATATATATACCAAATAAGGTACCAATACTAAAAGCCAAAATTTGTATTCATTTTTCTACTATGTTTTTATAAAATTTTAGATTGTTCAAAGTGGCATTATTCGATTTTCAGGATTAAATTCCGCAAACACATTGGATCTATTGGTGCTGGCTACATCATCTCCAATTTCTGGTAATATATTTTACCAAGTAATACAACCTGTCAGTGATACTTTGAAAGAAAACATTTCACGAGATATTGAAATATCAAGTTTTAATGCACTGCACGCAGTCATCATTACATGGCAGAAAGTGGAATTTTACGTAAGTATATAAGATATTAAATTTGTGTTACATAAAATAATTAGTCAGTAAAGTTTAGCAACTATTTTAAATTTAATTATAAATTACAAATTGTAAAATTATTTATTTAAACATGCAATACATATAAAGTATAAAATAAATTAAAAATTATAAAAATTGATTAAGTGTTAAAGTTTTTTTTATTTTAAACAACTTTACAAAATATAACAATAAATTTGCTTAATCCAGGCCCGTAGCCACCATGGGGGTCAGCAAGGATATTTGTTCCCCCCCCCCTCTAATAATTTTTCAAATAAATAAGTTTGAAGTTAGTTTTTTAGAAAAAACCAAACGATTACAAATTAAGATATAAAAAGTTAAAAAAAAAAAGTAAAAAATAGTAAAAAAAGATAGAAAAGACCTAATTTGTTATCCGTATTTTCAGCGTAAGTTCCTTTGATAAAAAATTTTTATCTACTATTATTACTTTTTTCTTTACACTATTATTTTAAATGGATATAATCGATAAATTTTATTTTGCTTTACTTTAATATATATATACTCCGTAATTTTTAAATATAAAGAATAGCTTTTAAAGAAAAATGATAAGTCATATCATAAAAATTTCAAATTTATATATTCATTTGTTTAGTTAACAATCGGTGAAGTAACCACAAAAAATCCCTGAAAAATAAGAAAATAGGATTTGCGCCGATCAAGTTTTAGCAAAAGTTAATAAATAAATGAAACTTTGTTATCACATCTAGAATGAAACACTCTACTATAAATATTCAGTTTTATAAACCTTTATTCCCAATTTTTTTTTTAACCCTAATCTTTTTTAAACCAAAATCTAAAACTTATAAAAGAATTCACTGTCGAGTATAAAGTCATTTGTCCAGGTAATTTGTTGCAGAATTATGCTAATATTGTAAGTAATCACTGTTATATAATTGGTTGTGTCTGGGAAGGTAGTTTAAAATATACTTAAGCCATATTTTAAATGATGACCACGCCCCAAGAAGTTAGTAAGTTTGGAAGATATATATATAATTAACTTTATCAGAATGATGCAGCGTGATGGTTAAAATCCAATTCAAGCCCATTTTGTTGCTTTAGATTGAACCTATTCAATCAAGCAAAAATCAAATTTTAAATTAAGAGCCAAATCAGAGACTGCATATTTAATTGAATGCAGTTTTTTGCATGCCAAGAATTTATAAAGATTTAAAAATAACTTATTAAACACGCGTGCTCCACTTGAGATTAGATGTAAAATGAAGATTTTGGGGTCTAATGCCAAGTTTTTAGTGGGGACCTCCAAACCATTGGACACGGCACTGGTTAAGTGTAATGCGTTGCTTTCTGTCTACCAAATTAGACTTAATTCATTAAAGTAGTTTGCCATTTATTACAAATGATCTATAATTAAACAATCTCGTATAAGTTCCTTTGTCCTCAAAACTTGTCAACCCCAACATTGCAATTTTTTCATTTTAGTTTTCAGAGTTTTCGAATTATAGGAATTTAATCCTAAATATATTAAACCCTGAAAGGATCAACTTATGATTCTTCGATTTATAACAGTTTGAATTAAAATTACAGAAAAATCGAAAATAACTTTGATAACAACGATTGAATCGTTAACGATTGTTAACGATTGTTTCATTACACTTTTTTTTGTTTCCTACTTCTCCAGCTCTTCTTCAATTTGAAATGAAAGTCGATAAACTGGGTAAGCATAGCACTTTCTGACATTAAAAAAATTTTGACATAATTTTTTTTTTAACATTGATGAATTTATAATTTAAGTTATTTGTATAATTAAAATAACAAAGACAAAATTACTTAATTTACAAATCCAATTATGTTAAAAAGGTTTATTTTTATTACGTAAAAATGTATAACCAAAAATTAAACAATCAATAACAATGAAAAAAACAACAACATATGTTATACATTCAAACTTTATAAGTTATAATGTTAATTACTTCTTTTATCTTACCGCTTAAACATTTCTTTTAGACTTGTTTAATATTTAAAAATGATAAAAAAATAAACAACAACAACATATTGCGAAAGAAAACGTAAATAACTTAAAGCAATTATTTTATGTAAATTTTATTAAGAATATACTTTGACTACTTTTATTTTTGACTACTTTTTTAACAAACGCACATATTCTTCAAACGCACATTTTTTTAAAATCGAATTAGATTTTATGCATATCTGTGGTTTTTCTGAGCCTATATAGCAGGGTTCTGCGCATATCTGTGGTTTTTCTGAGCCTATATAGCAGGGTTTCTTAACCTGTGATCAGTGAACCCCTAAGGGCTTTATACCATGCGTTCTAGGTTTCACGTTGCAAGCACAATTTTAAAAAAATTTGATTTTTTGAACGAAAACACTTTTACATTTTAAATATATTAATAGATAGATATGTGCAGACTGATATCAAACAAAAACAATGTTTAGTTTTTCATTAATCGAAAGAACCGAAAACACCGGGGAGGGGGGCAAGGGAAATTTCTTCAATTATTGACCAAAATTTTAATTTTTTGGTCCATAATATAAGAAACTTGACTTTTAATTCGACGCATTAAAAAATCTAACGATTCTTTATCCTTTGTAACATTTCTTCTTTTTTAAGCAATTAAAGTCAATAATTTTTTTTTGTTTGTCTTCTTTGATTGTTTTGACCTTTTTGATTGTTTATATATATTGAATAAAGTTGCAACATTTTGTAAGAAGGTATTATATAAAAAAAGCTAGTTTATTATTTTATTAAACAATTTCAGAGCAAGTCCTTCAGTTCATTTCAAGTAATAGTTACTTCAAATGGTACAGATACCTTTGCAATATTGAACTTGCTGAATATTGGTCAAAGCTCACAAAAACTGCAGTTTTATCCAGAGGTAAATTTATATGTAAAGTGATAGTAAAAATAAAAAGTAAAAGATAGTAATAGTAAATGACTAACCTACCCTCCTAAGCTTATTAGCTTGATAGCTTTGAAAGTATTACAACTTATTTTTTATTTATTGAGGTGTTAAAACTTATTTTGCTCTAATACTTTCTTTACAATGCTTTTGCATATATTTATTTAACTGGAGTTAAAAAAGAAAGGGAAAATTTTACCTAAATAAAACAGTTTAACAATTTCTTTTGGTGAAATACAATTTTGTATCAAGGATTTTAAAATGTGATCAATTATTTTTAACAGAAAGTCATTTTTTTTGAGTTTAATTTTTTTTAACGCTTAATAACTTGTCTATTTGAAATTTTTATGTTCAAAAAACTTTGTTATTGTAGTTTATTTCAGCATATTTTTTTTTTGGATCTATTTATTTTGGATATATTTTTTTTGGATCTGCTCATATAAATTCAGTTTTTTAAATTAAAGATAATCATAAATGTTTTTTTAATTGGCATCAAACTAAAGTTAAACATCATTAAAATGTCATTTAAATGCTTACTACATTTTTATGTTATTGATTCCAATTTACTCAAATAAACTTTTTTTTTTTAAAAAAAACTAATTCACTCCCAAAAAGACTGTAAGTTATATTATTAAGTTAGGAGTTACTAGAAAATGACAATTGTATTAAAAAAGTAGGAAGCGGTTAACAGTAGGCTTGAAAGTTAAATATGGTTTGAGTCAGGAAAACATAAAGATAAGAGAGAGTTTCTAAGCATTGAAGTACTGGGAAAAATCTATATTGATGAAGGTTTTTAGAGCATTGAGATATACACACAGTAAAAGGATGACAAGTCAAGCAAGAATAAAAGTCAAGCAAGAATAAAAGTCAAGCAAGAATAATTAATCACTTTGAATGACAAGTCAAGCAAGAATAAGTTTTGGTTGATGGAGCTAAAGATGATAGCTCCTTTGAGCAGTGACTGTAATAGTATTTGTAGAAAAGAAAAAGGAATGCAACCTTATGGTGATGGGAGAGAGACTTAAGCTTGGCAGATAAAGTCCAACATTGTTTATAATGTGTTTTTTGACCTTGTCTAGAATAAAAAAAGCATTATTTGAAGAACTAGCCCAAATGTAATAACAGTATTTCGAACAAGGACAAATAAATGATTTATTGAGTTTGAAAATGGAATCAGGGGTAAATTAATGGCGAGCACAATAAAGAGAAGCAAATTTAGCAGATACTAACTTTGCAATAGATTGTTTTTATGGTTTCCATAAGCGGTCTATAGTGAATATGTGGTAATCCAAGAAGACTTTAAAAAGAGAACTCAGTAAGAGGGTTGCCATTCATTAAAATAAGAATTTCATCACTATTTCAAAAGTTTTGCAGTAAATAACTGAGTTTTGTTGAGTTAAAATTCACACGCCACTACAAGCCTACTATGCAATATATAGTACCAATACTGAGATCCTTTGGATCTCAGTATTGGTTACTGTACTAAAGTATAGTTATGTATAACAGTTTTGTATAATAACTAATACTAAAATCCAAAGAAGAAACAGCTGAATGCAAATTATTCTCACAAAAAACAAATCAGGTGAATTTTGCAAGAGGTCAGGTTTAACTGATGGTAAGTTACTTCAAAGACACAAATATTTGTAAAAGATAATTTGAAAGTAGGAAAAATTATTGAAAGTATCACTGAAAGTAGAAAAAAGTAAATAAGTGGTGATGTTTTTATGTTTAATAAATTTGGTTACTTTGTTCATTGTTTAAGTTAAAGAGAACTTGACTCGTTTATAAATAAAGCATAAATACATGGCATCTCAAGCAATTAGATCTGCCTCAGTCCTGCTAACTAACCCAATGTTGTAACTTAAGGCTCCATATGTTGTCTTGAGTCTTGACAATGGTCACTAAAAGTACTAACAGGGATACCATCCATGTTAAATGCTCTGATATTACACAGGTTTACATCTATGCCAGCCAAATAGATTGCCAAAGAAGGGGTTCAAAGCTGGTCAAAAGAATTGATCTGCTTAACTCTTTAGTCAATACCTAAAAGGCCTTTTAGAAGACCATAGTTAGATGCATCTGCCCAAAATGAGTATCTTTATCAATATGGTATATTGATAAAGATACTCATTTTGGGCAGATTCTTGCCTTTATTCAACCAAGTGCCCCAATGGCACGCAAATTTGAAGTCAAAGTTTGTTTCTCTCAACCTTTGCCTAGAAAAGCAGCAGTACATGGCAAATAAAACTATTTAACATGTTACCAGTAGCTGGGAGATTGTGATGATCTTGAACCTGGAGTAGTTAAAAGAAGTTTAATGTAAGCAATAAACATATCATTAGTTCATAAGGTGAATTAGTTGACCTGTGAATTGTAGTGCCTTGAAGTGTAGTGTTCTTCCAATATATAGTAATGTTAATACCTTACCCATCCTTTGTTTAGAAATATTCTGTCATTTATTATCCAAATCAATGAAACAGACTAACCATTCCAATGATAAGATAAGAATTAAAAGTTGTAGCATAATCATATTCTTTAGTTGCATTACATTTGTTAAAAGATAAATCATGTTGTCGGAAGCCATTAGTTGAAAATATAATTATGAAAATTAGGGAGATAATTGATTACAACAGTTGTCACTTAGTTCATTGTGAAATTAATCCAGTTAAAATTTCCATTTACCTTGATGATTTGTCTCAATTTATTAACATTAAATGGAAGTGAAGCTTTATCTTTTAAAGAAAAACACCTGATTACTTTGCTGAAGAATATTTATTTGTGTTAATATAAAATTCAAGAGGCCCTTAAAAAAGTATTCTATCATGATGTCAAAAGCACTTTTAATAAAGTATGAAAATTATTTTGAATTACCCTTTTACACAATGAAAAAGATGTGTTAAAACAGTGTTACACAAATGCGTTTTGCAAATTTTTATAAGGTCAAACAATTACAAAAAAACCTGATCTTCCTAAATTTCAAACCAGAAGCTTTAAGTATTCTGGACCTTATTATGTTGGTCTTTAAGTATTCTGGACCTTATTTTGTTGGTCCATTTTTAAAGAAAATTAATGACAGAGCTAAGAAAATAAAGGTATCAATTAACAACCATAATTTTGTATTAGTGATAATGACTTCTGTGAGACATTAGTGCTATTCCATTTGTTTGGTTCTAGGATTTTTACAGAGTCTGTAATATCAGAAAATGTACTTTTTCCATTTTTTCTTATTATAAAGTTTAAAAACTTATAATGCATGACATTTTTACAAAGAATTTATTATGATAATCTTATATCAGGTTGATCTACGTTACTCTTACAATGGTGGTTTATCATTTGTTCGTACAGGTTTTCTTAAGCGTTCAACTGGCGTATCAACAGCAACTGTAAATACAGCTTCGGCTGCAACTTCTGGTACAAATACAGGTAAACCTGGACGCTGGGTGCTTCAACTAAATCAGAATATAATGTTAGGTAATGTCTTTCATTGTCTTTAAAATATAGAGTCATCACTCATTCTTGCTTTAGTTTTAATTTAATAATGCTTTAGTTTTATTTTAATTCATAAATGCTTAAGTTTTAATTTGATTTTAAAATAACTTTCTGTGATTTTCCTTTATTATTCTGATTCTAAGATTTGTAGCAGAAAATAAGTAGAATAGAATATTTTATGAATTTAAAAATATGATAAAAAAAGCAATTAAAAATTTTTTTTTTTTTTTAATTATTTATTTTCAGTTGAAACATCAAATTCAAGCAATGTTACAAGTTAGTAGTTATATTTTTGTTTTTATCCCTGCTCATATTGCTTTAATTTAAACAGTTAATATAAAACTTTTTTTTTGCTTGTGTGTGTGTGTGTTATTATTTATACTCTAAGAAATTGTTATTAACTAAATTAATTTTTCATATTATATTGTTATGTTATTATGTATGTATACTTTAATATAACATTTTATGAGTTTTTTTTATTTGAAACACAACATTTCTTATGTCAATATGAGAGTTTGACAGTTGAGTTCATAATAATACATGTGGATAATAATATTACATATTATATTATGCAGTAGTGGTGTAGTGGTAGAGTGCTTGCAAGGTATGGATTTCAAATACTTCTGCGAAAGCAGTGTAAGGTATGGAGTTCAAACCTACCACGTCCTTAAAAGTACTGCATCTCAACTTTTAGCATTGAGCTGCTACCTTAATTGTCAACGTTTATCCTATGGAAATTGATTACAGTTGAGAAAAAAAAATAACTTCTGTCTTTACTATAATGGTTTTAGAGATATTGTATCAAGCCAGTGTAAAGAATAACCCAATTAATTATGTTGGCTCAAAAGAGCTGTAATTAAACAAGTCTATAACAAAATAACAAAGTACATAAAGTATATATAGTATAATACAAAATGTATATGTATATATAAATATTTCATATAAACATAACATCTCACATAGGCATAATGAGGATTTGCTTCAGAACTGAGTATGAAGATTCTGTAAATGAGCTAAACCTCATTTACTGAACCTTCATATTTACTTTGCATTGCATTGCTTTTTATAAGAACAGGTCCTGAGTTAACAAGCCATGAAGGAATTCAGGACCCAGATGATGATCTTCTTTAAAAATTGAAAAGAGATTCATGTGGACTATAATTAGTAGAAGTACATAATAGAGATCTTGTAGCATGAAGTGCATCCGGTATAACTCTTTTCAATGATGATATAGGCAGATTTCGAGATTTCAGAGTGAGTAATATCGACTTCCAAATAGTTTCATTGTATCTATTAACTTGCCCATTTTCAGTTGGATTGTAAGGGGTTGTTCTGCTAGTTGCGTTCCTTTTTGATAAGAACCAGTGCTTTAATTCAGAAGACATTAATGAGGATCCACGATCTGAATGAACATAGCTAGGCATACCAAATATAGGAAAAAGATCAGCTAAACAGTTTATTATTGTCTGAGTTGTTATATCTTTTACAGGATAAGCAAATGGAAAATCTGAGTAGTCATCCACAATTATTAGCCAATTATTGTTCAAGGGTTGAAGAAGATAATAGACCTTTTAAGTCAATAGATATACGTTATAATGGCTGAGTTGCTTTAATTAGGTGCACAACAATTGGGCGGTAGTACTTGGGTTTTATTATATTATATTATTACATTGTAATAGTTATTAGATTATTAAAATTATAATTATTGCGAAGAAGATTGTAAGAAAAAAAGCAAAAGATTATCAGACAATTTAATATGAAAGTTTTTATGAACTTTTTAAATAAATCTTGCTAATGGTTGTCTTTTTATTTCGTTTTTACTTCAACAAAAAATTTGTTTTTTTTGTTTTTTTTAACAAACAAACATTTTGTTAAGTTGAAAATTATTTCTAAGTTGCTGTTTTTTTTTTTTTTATTGGGTTAACTTGCTGAATAAAAATATTGATAACAATAACTGAAGTGTGAAAATATCTAAATGTATTTAAATTTTTTGTTTTTAAATATATCAGTTACATTAATTTATTAGAAAAACATTACTTTTAGGAATACCTTTTATTTTGTTAAATTTAAAAAAAGTTTGTAATATCCCCTTCTTGACCTTACAATTCTGAAACAAAAAATTTGACGAATAGGATTGATACATGAGGAAACAAGTCAAACACAATACTTTATGGGATGTAATATTGGCTGTCATCCATTTTTGGTTACTATAGTACAGAGGCTGATATTTATTTTGTGACTCATTTATAGCATTTTGGAAGGCTGAAAAGCAATATTAAAGTTGTGATCACTGGTATTTCTAGAGCATATTCACAATTAAAGATCATTGAATTAAACAACTATATTTATTAAAGATGGGCTCAGTGGTTTTAGGGTTTCAACAATATAGTGACTAGATGTATATGTTAGAATAATGCTGAGTCAAAGCAATTTACTCTTGAGTCCTTAAAAAAAAAGGGGGGGAGGGCGTTTATTTATTTTTGGAAAATTTTATCACCCACCCAAAGCTTATTAAGTACCCCTCTCCCCCCCTCAGTTTATTAATTTTCACTTGTTGTCAGCAAAAACGTTATATTTCCATACTAAAAAAATAAAAAAAATAAGTGAAGTCTTAAAAATTAGAAAATAATTCTTTTAGTCACTGATAAATAAAAAATAATAAAAATAATAAAAAAATAAAAGAATAAAAAAAAAAAAGAATAAAAAAAAAAAGCTTTCAGTGTAAACAGGCTTTAAAAATTGCTGACCTAGTAAATCTCGATTTGTCGAAAATGAGTTTTTTTTTATTTCTCATCAAAGTATGAAACTTATATCAACATATTACATCCTATACATCCTATTGAAATTATGATAAAACAGCTGTTAGAATATGCACACTAAAATTAAATAGTTTTAAGCGTGTTTTTTAAAAATATTAGTTTGGATTTATAAACTAAAATTAAAAAAAAATACTTATATTGTAAAATAAAAAAATCCCCTCCCCTTCTTTTATTAACCCCCCTCCCCTCACGTTTATTAAATCTGGACTAAAACTCCTACCCCCACCTTTTTATCCCCCCTCCCTCCCTCTTGTATTAATGATTCAAGAGTAGATGCTTATAATCAAATTGGATCATGGTTTATTTAGCATAAGTGGTGTTTATTTTCATAGAGGTTTGGTATCACATCCATTAAAATCAATGGCTATGTAAATCAATGGTGGATTGTTACTAGAAAATTTGGCTGCTGGATCTTTATTGGTGGCTTAGAGCTGTGAGATTTTCTGATAGTTTAGCTTTTCTGACAGTTTGCTGCTATATTGGTATATGGTGGCAGATGTATGTCATATTTTAGAGAAGAACCCTGTATGTACTTTTATCTCTTCAAACATTTGAACAAGGTGTTCTGCCTTACAACCAATAGAATGTGCATTACATTTTTCATAGAGTCGTAAACTTTTTGTGTAGAATTTTGCTATTTTTTTATTTTTGTTAAATTATGTAAGTTAAAATGTTTTCTTGCATCTGTGAAACTTAAAACTTGATAAACAAATGAATCTTTTATTTTACATTTTTTAATGGTTGACCACAACACAGATTAAAAACAAATTCCAAATAGAGATAATATTATAAGAATTTAAACATGGTTACTTTACTAATCTTACTTATATAGTTGTGCTTTATATACTGTATCATATCAAATGGATATTGAGTTACCTTTGAATAGTGACCCTATTCTGAGTGGTGAAGGTGAAGGTAATGACAATGATTTTGATTTTGAAATACCAGACATAATTTTAAAAGGTGAGGTCATAAAGGGGTCATCCATAAAGGATGTCACCATTTTTTAGCCAAATTTTGACCCCCTTTCCCCCTTTGTCACCGGTTGTCCTTTTTCCCTATACTCCCCTGGAAAAAGACATGATAAAATCTTGACCCCCCTCCTTTTTTTTAACTCTAAAAAAATTTATTTCATCTTGCAATGATGTTTGAATCTGCTGCTACACCTTTGAAAAATAAAATTAAAAATATACATATCTTCTTAAAAAAGCATGTTTACGTAATTTTCCATGTTAACTAAACTAAAATAAAAAATCTATAAAGTGACATCCTTTTCTGAAAACCTTCCCCCTCTTCTCTTGTCATTTTTAACTCGACCCCTCCCCTTCCCTATTTGGATGACGTTCTTTATGGATGGCCCCAAACTATTAATTGTGCTCAATGTGTAGCTAGGTGTACGTTTTATTTATTTTATTATTTATAGATTACTTATTGCTTATATATTGTTATTTTGATGATAAATTACATGAGTGTGAACAATTATCAATGACAGAAGAAAAAGTGATTATGGAACTAATAATGAAGGTGTTCATAAGCATTGTTTCAAGTTGAATACTCAGAACATCTGAATGGGATAAAAAATAATCACGCCAAAACTACAGTTACTGAAAAAGTCTTTGGAAATAATTGCAGACGTAATATAATAATGATAAAACTATTATTAACTTATTATTAACTATTATAAAAACATCAAAAGTTGTGCCACTTGTGCATTGCTGGGATGAATTTGTTGAACTATTGGATCCTGGATTAGCACAATAGCTGAATTGATTTGTAACTTGACAATAATAAAATTGTTGTACATATAATACTATAATTAAAATTATAGTATGGATTTACATGTATGAAAACACTAAAGTTTAGTAACAAATACTATTTTTACTTTGAACTTTTTGCCTTATTTAACACCTTTTTTTTTCAAGTTTTTTTTTATTAGAATTTTATTAAGTTTTTTTTTTTTAGAAAGATAATATTTTAAGCTTTAAGATAGATGTACTAACTTCAAACTTTCTTTAAAAACTAAAGGGGGTTGTTTTCCAGATCTTGTCCTATGTAGTCTTTATTAAATCTATTATTTAATATACTGAATTAATTAATATAGTTTATTATTAAGTTATATAATTATAATATAATAGTTTTATTATCTAATATTTTTTCTTATTTTTATTGAAGGCAACATTCAAGGGATGCCTTTGAGTAATTTTAGTAAGTTCTGTTTTTTTCTTGTTTTTTTGGTTAAATTTTGATTGTACATTTTTATTGAGTGTAAAAAAAACCTCTAAACAGTTAATTATGTATAAACAAGGCAATTGGACTCGTGATTCAATGCGATTTGTAAATCAAGATTTGCTTTGAATTGTGATTCGATTCGAAACTAAAAATTGTGATTCGCAGGGCCCTAATATATATATATATATATATATATATATATATATATATATATATATATATATATATATATATATATATATATATATATATTAGATATATCAAAATGGTAATTGGACTACCAGTCCAATTACCATTTTGAAGAAATCTAAGTTTAACTAAAATAAAGGTATCCTCGAAAAGCGGATTTGTTTCGAGATACAACTTGGTTTACAAATCAACGCCTGATTCGATTTGAATTCAATTCGATACCAAAAAAGGTGATTCACAGGGCCCTAATACATATATATTTATATATATATATATATATATATATATATATATATATATATATATATATATATATATATATATATATTATATACACTACTCGGTGTAGTTAAGGCAATTTACAAAATATTAAAATACTTTTATTTGGAAATAGCATGGTTTTGTCAGCATATTATATCCAAATGAGATCTTTAAATGTTTTAAATTTCTACTACCTGTAATAGCGAATCTAAAGAAAACTATTTTGGAGACTTAAGATCAATTCCGCTCATCGGCATTAACATGAATTTAGTAAAAATCTTTTGAAAAAGTTCCTTAATTTACTACTGATCTTAGTTCTAATCAGCTCTGACGTATATTAACTATATATAGTTGTCAAAACACAATATTTCTATTAATTTTCACAAAAAGTACTAAAATTCTGACCAAGAAAGAGCTTATAATTATAGAAAATTGCTAATAAACAATCAGAACAGATCATATTGTAAAATTATAATGTTCATTTCACCTAAAAAACGTATTAATATAAAATCTTATTCAAATAACTTTGTAAATTAAAACATCAAAGCAAACTTAAATTAAAATAAACAAACCATAAACTTAAAAGAGAATAAAATCTGAAAATAAAATAATAAAACAAAGATAAAAAAAAAACACTTTTAAATAAAAGAAAATTGAATAGAAAAAAAAACCATTTAAAATATATATATATATATGTGTGTGTGTGTGTGTGTGTGTGTGTGTGTGTGTGTGTGTATGGGGGTTGGGGGGGAGCTAAGGGGTAATTACCCCCTCCTTCCCCTCTCTAAAAATTTCAAACTTCAAAATTTTATTTATAAAATTAAAGAAATTATTAAAATATTTATTATGGACAAGCGATTGTGATTTTAAGATGATTTAAAAAAAAAAAAAAAACCCTTCGGTCTGGGTTTTTTTGCTACAAACATTTGAATTTTTTTGATAGGGCAAAATTTATCATTTTAATCTTTTCATAATTCACCGACCAGACCATTTAACGGAAATATGCTGTAGTCAACAAAATATCATACAGACGCAAAATTATTTTAAAAGTGCCTTAACTACACCGAGTACCATTCATAATTATTCGAATGGCAATAACTTTTTTTAAAAAAGATATTTTTTATTTAACTATTTTTTATGTTTATTTTTGCACTGTTAGATAATTTAAAAGTATTTTGGTTAAAATGCTTGGATAAAAATTCTAAGAATAATAAAAATGCTAAGGTGGGCAAAACTTCATACAAAATGGACCATCAATGACTGTAAATGCAGACCGACATGTCAAAGTTTTAAATCTTTGGTTTAAAAATAAAATCGTTTTTCAGAAAAAAAAATTGTTGAATTTATGAAAAAAAATATTGTATTATTGACTGTAAAACATGGTGGATGTAGTGTTATGGTGTTTTGTTTAGCCACAGGTGACTTTGCAAAAATAAAGAGAGTAATGACAAAACTAGTTAAGTATACTAGTATACTTGTATACTTAAAAATTTATGCTACACCTTCGAAAAGATGGGTTAATGAGAAGCTAATAATTTTTTAAAAAGAAAATGAACTGAAGCTTAAATCTAAAACATATTTTTTGAAAACTTGTTTAAGTTATTTGACTGAGTTTGAGAATGATCAAATATTAAACAAAATGATTTAGCCTCCCCAATCACAAGATCTCTCTTTTATCAGATTTTTATGGGTGGAATTAAAAGTAATGTCAAAAACTAATGCCAAATGGTGCATAAGATGTTGACAAAATATATTAGTTTGCGGCATAAATTTACTTCAACAAATTTGATAAGTTGTTAAGTAAAATGCCAAGAATATGTATGGTGGTTATTGTCGCTAAGAGTGATTAAAAGGCAAATAAATTATAAATTAATCTTATCATACTTTTATTAATTTTTTTATAAACCTAATAAAAAATAAAATAATATATAATTCTGGTAGACTTTGCTTATAGATTCTCTCCAAATAATAAGTAAAACTATGATATCTTTTTTCGAAAAGTATGACCATTTAAATAATTATGGATGGTAGTATATATATATATATATATATATATATATATATATATATATATATATATATATATATATATATATATATATATATATATATATATATATATATATATATATATATATATATATATATATATATATATATATGTATATGTATATATATATATATATATATATATATATATATATATATTTAAATAATTATGGATGGTAGTGTATATATATATATATATATATATATATATATATATATATATATATATATATATATATATATGTATATGTATATATATATATATATATATATATATATATATATATATATATATATATATATATATATATATGTATATGTATATATATATATATATATATATATATATATATATTTTAATAATTATGGATGGTAGTATATATATATATATATATATATATATATATATATATATATATATATATATATATATATATATATATATATATGTATATGTATAATATATATATATATATATATATATATATATATATATATATATATATATATATATATGTATATGTATATATATATATATATATATATATATATATATATATATTTTAATAATTATGGATGGTAGTATATATATATATATATATATATATATATATATATATATATATATATATATATATATATATATATATATATATATATATATATGTATATGTATATATATATATATATATATATATATATATATATATATATATATATATATATATATATATATATGTATATGTATATATATATATATATATAATATATATATATATATATATATATGTATATAAATATATATATATATATATATATATATATATATATATATATATATATATATATATATATATATATATATATATATATATATATATATATATATATACACACACACACAAATAATTTCAAACAGTGTGACAATTGCGATTTTGAATTTTTTTTTTTTTTGATATACAATTTTAATATATCTGAACATATTTTTGGCTTGGTATAAGAACAGCCACAAACAGTCATAAAAACTAATACCAAGTAGCATCTGTTATTGACTAACATTTGTGTGTATGGAAGTACTACTCAAGCACTAAGTTGGCAGTAACTGGATTTAAACTCGTATTGTAACAGTCTGGGTTTTAACAATTCGTTTGATGCTTTAACTTTTTGAGTCAGCCAGCCACGAATGTTATACTAATCATATATTCTAGGAATTTCTAGCTACTAGAATTTTCTAGAATATATGATTAATATAACATTTATTATACTAATCATATATTCTAGGAATGTTACACTAATCATATATTCTAGAATGTTAAACCAATATATTCTAGAAGATTCTGCAAAAAGTTTAGGCTTAGTTACAATTATAGAAAAATATAAGATATTTTTCTATAAGTGTAACTGATTCATTTAAAATTTTAGTAAACACCATTTTAAGTTAACAAGTAAAAAAATATCAAGTGATGTTAAACTGAACTGAACAAAAGAAATTAGCTGATTTTATCCTCAAGTTTTAATAAAAGTGACTCCAATGATGTAATTGATGGCACAGATATCACCTTTAAAGAGGATAATGATTATGTTATAAACCAATAAGTTGCCTGAAATTAATCAAAGTAATGTTACTCAATATTTTTTGTTGTTATTCAAAGATAATGTATATGTATAACAAATGTCTGCAGCACAACACAACAAAAAGAATGACAAAATTGATAAACTTGATAATTTAAGTTTTCAAATGAAGTTAAAGTCTTAAAGCTTTAAATTAAGTTTTAGTTTAAATTGCTTTAAATTATAGAATATAACTGGAGTCTTCGTCTGAGCAATCTAGTGGACACAAAACAGTTTAAGTGTTTTGACCCATTTCAACATAAAGAGTCTAGTCATTATCTAGTTATTATACTGCACACAAAGATAATGCTACAAAAAGATGTGTAATGTGTTATAAAAAACCAAACATTATTTTGAACAACCAAACGCTACGGCTTTAGCTATAAATTAGGGTGGCAGTTAAAGAGTTAATTAACTTTTTTTTTAGAAAATAATATATAATTCTGGTAGACTTATGAGTTAATTAAGTTTTTTCCTTATAATTATATTATGTGTATTTAATAACATAGTTTTATCAATGTAATTATGTATTGTATAAAATAATATAATAGCAATTATTATTAAATTTAAAATAGTTGTCATAATGAAAATATTGAATAATAAAACCAACTGTTTTTATTTTTGTAGGTGGCATTGCACTGCGTGGTGAATTTTGGTTTAACAACCTAACATTGGATGGAAGCATACTTTTATCTTTTAATGTTAATCAACTAGGTGTTATACTTGCTAAATCAAGTAGTGATCCCCGCTATGATTTAATGGATGGAGCTATTAAACAATGGGTATATTAATACTTAAATTCAACATTCAAAATAATGGATAGTCAAAGTTTATTTTTTAAAACCCCCAGTTTAAAAATTTTTTAAACTATCTAGTCTTACTAGGCTAAGCTAAAAAAAAAAATTTATTTTTTGTTTTAACGATATCTACTTGACTATAAAAGCAGATACAAATGATATTTTTCATAAAATATTTTCTTGAAATGAGTTCTTGAGGTTTTAAACTTCCCATCAAAACCTTCTTAAACTTCCAATTGAAACTTTCTAAACTTCCATACAAAATTTTTTAAACTTTTTTTTCTTAAATCTTGAAATTTGTTCTTAGAAATGAAAATTTAAAAGTTTTAAATCCAAATCTTTATTGGAAATATTATTTATAAATTATGTTTATAAGTTTTGTTTATAACTGGGTTATTCCATATGAAATCACCTAGTTTTTCATAAGTGCTCCAGGGTACCACCTCAAATTTGCTTCAAATTTTGGCCACCCACAGCTTTTATGAAAAAAACACAATCCTGAAAATTTCAGCTTGATTGACCAAATCGTTCAAAAGTTATGTTTGATTTAATATTGACAAAAATCAGAAAAATTTAAGTATCTAGAGCTTACAGTAAATTTTTATGATTTTTAACATAACTTCATAAATAAAATAGATAATCACCTGAAATTATTTACAGTAAGCTTTTCACCCAAATTATCTATTTTTGCAGGTGTTTTTGACTGATTTTGAACAGTTTTTGAGTTCTTGTACCTTAAAGTTGCTAAATAACGCAATATTAGAAAAAATTTTGGAAACTTTAATGTGCTACAGTTCAATACCAACAGACAAGCTGTGCCAATTTTTTGTTACTTTTGTGTTCTTAGAGTAACCATTTGCAGAAAAAATTAAAATTATGTGTTATAAGTTATTTTAGCACTTGCAGCAGACTGTTAAAAAATCACTTTTTAAAAAAAATATGATAAATTACATTCACTTTGTAGGCATAGAAAGTAGCATAGGCAGCTAAAATAAATTATGAAACTTTTTACTCGCAAAGTTCTATCATAGACAATCACAAAAAAAATTTAAAGACCTATACTACCTATACTATCTTATGACATGATTGTAGGCCTATGACCTGGTGTATATTTTTAATTTTTCCCTGAATATAAACAGTTTTCCCTAAAAAAACATTACCAGTGTCTTAATTTCTGTGATATGATTTTATAATAAATATTTGTTTAATTTTATGGATATGATAGAATTATAATGATAGAATTTTCACATAAAATTTGAGTTATATTTTGAGTGTAAAATACTTCAATTGCTTCAAGAGTTTGTATTAAAATCTGAACAGTATTTTCTGGATTTTATTATTTTAGTTTTTAGAATTGCAAGAACCAAAAACTAAAAATTTTTGTGTTTGCAGAAATAGTTATATGTAGAAATAGTTTTTTTGGTTGCATTTTAATTTTAATCACATCTGTACTTGATATTTCATTTTTACAGATTTTATTACTGGAAAAATATAAAAAAGTTCTTTTTTAGATTATGTTACATGTTAAACCCTCGATTTTAATATTTTTAGATTAGTAAAAAATGTCAGAGAAATGTTGCTTGGGAAGAGTTTTAAGATTCTGATGAAGTTTGATTTGATCAAAAGATTGAAGTTTTGATTCAAAGGATACCTATTAAAACATATTGAAACTTCTTGGGAAGAGTTTTAAATGAAGATTCTGATAAAAAGAGTAAGACTAAAAGAAGTTTTGATTCAAATGATAGTATACACTTTCAAATTAAATGAGGAGATATGTTTTAACCATTAAAAAGTCTATTTTTCTAGATATGAAGCACTTCAAAAATACTGTTTTGATTCATTTTAAGTCCTCAAGAAAAAAATTAGCAAAGGATTGTGTAAAGTCAACATATCAATAGCAAATCAACTTAAGATCAAACCTGGTCAAAAAGTTTGTACTAATTGTATGAATGAATTCAAACTTGAAAAAATTATAGAAGTTAGTCAAGATGGAGCTGCTGAAGAAGATTTTAGTTATTCAGACCTAGATAAGACACCTCTTAATAACAGTGTGTCTTTATTGGGAATATCCCCATTCAAAAATGTAAGTAGGCACAAAAATTTAGGATATGGAAAGCAAAAAGCTAAAAAAATTGCAACAAGTATGACAAACCTAGTAGCGTCAGCATTGGATATAGTCCCAAAAGAAATAGAATCAGAAAAAAAGAAAAAATGTATAAACTGTAATGATTTAGACAAACTGTTAGATGCAATAAAAAATAAAATAAAAATAAGTTTGAAGGAAGAAAAAGTTCAATTACTAACACTAATTCCTGATAGTTGGTCAATTGAAAAACTTGCAAAATATTTTCAGTTTCAGAACATCTTGTTAAGAAAGCACGAAAGTTGAAAAATGAAAAAGGAATACTTTCTAAACCTGAGGCTGAAATAGAACAGGCTTTGGAAGATATTGTTAAACAAAAAGTTACTGAAATTTATGAATCTAAAGAGTTTATGAGACAATGTCCAGGAAAAAAAGACTTTGTTTCTGTGCGTATAAATAATGTAAAAGTTCATAAACAAAAATGTTTAATATTAGTTCAATTAAAGGAACTTTATCTTGAGTTTAAAAAGTTATACCCTAAACACAAAGTTGGATTTAACAAGTTCTGTGAACTAAGGCCAAAGTGGTGCATTACAGATGACGGTAGTGGAAGTCACTCAGTTTGCGCATGTTCTTATTATCAAAATGCTAAGTTGATGTGCGCTGCTTCACCTAAGGGCCATTTAATATAATGCAAAGATTTGATGAAAGTATGTTTTTGTAATATAGATAGTTGAAGCTACATATTTTATCTATGTTCAACTGCCCCAGTAAAGTAAATTTGAAGACTCTATTAGAAAATATGTTAGAAAATAATGATTTTGATTTTGACAATTAGATCACATACAAACAATAGGTGTCAACTGACCAAAGTACACTTATCGCAGTTCAAACAAGCATTTTTTTGTCACCACCACTATATCAAAGAAGCACAATCCTCCTACTTAATAGAGGAAAAAAGAATATTAGATCAACACACTTGTCTTATTCTTATGGATTTTGCAGAGAATTATAGTTTTTTTGTGCAAGATGCTGTACAAGGATTTTACAGGCAAGCCAATAAAGATTCCTTATATCCATTTTCTATTTATTACAAAGATGAAAAAAATCAACTCAAATGTGAATGTTATTGTACATTTTTTATTTTTAATTATCTTCGCTTCCAACAAGGCTGCAAGCAACCACTAATTAGAGTTGAAAGTTACTGGAAGAGAAAAGATGAAGATTGTAGAGCAAGATAACAATTGACAGACGACTTAAAGGATTGCAAATTACATGAATCAGGAAAGCAAGATGAAGGAAGCAAATTTTAAAGAACTGATGAGTTATGAGAATAAGAGTTTTTGGAGCACGTAGGAACAGTGACAGAAAAAGAATGAGACTTAATTGAATGATGAGTAATATGAGAATAAATTTTAGTAGATGGCACAAGAGCTCTCTCACACTAGCTCTTTAGAGCAGTGCCCATTATAGTATTTGTAGAAAAGAGAAAGAGAAGCAACATTACGATGATGTAATAATGGTTGGAGGTTGGCTGCATGAGCAGGTCCAACTATGTTTACAGCACATTTTTGCACCTTGTCTAAAAGAGAAAGGACATCATTAGAAGATCCAACATGGCAACAGTATTCCATACAAGACCAGATTTGAGATTTACAGAGATAGAGAATAGAATCCGGAATAAGAAAGTATTGAGCTCAATAAATAGATGCAACCTTAGCAGATGCTAATTTTGCAATGGATTTGAGATATGGTTTCCAAGAAAGATCGGAAATAAGAGTTAATACTAGAAGATGAAGGGTAGATGACTTATCGAATACATTAGCGTTCATAAATATATATAATTTCTACCATTCATAAATATATATAATTTTATAAATATATATAAATTTCTGACCATCTTTGCCATGACTAAATAATAGTTCATTATTTTCTCACAAAGTTACTCCCAATGATCAAAATCAAACTACATGCAATCAATAAAGTAAAATACTTCAGTGATTGTGCTGTGTCACATTACTAAAATTACAAATGTCTGTTAAACTTAATGTACCATCTTAATGATCACAATATAAATGCTGAGCATCACTTCTTTGCTACATTCCATGGCAAAAGTCATGTGATGAAATAGGAGGAACTATAAAAAGAGAAGCAAAAGCGAATTTATGAGCAGCAAATACAAACCAGATTCTTACACCAAATGAACTAGTTGCTGGGGCTGAAAGAAACATTAAAGGTGTTAATATATATTACATTTCAAGTGATGATATCAATAACCATAAAACTTATTTTAACCTAAAGAAACAATATGAAAAGATAAGCTCAGTCCCAATCACAGTTTTGTACTAGGTGGAGAGAAATTATTTTTATGGAGAATCTCTAGCAATACTGTCTATGATATTGCTGAATAATATTAATTTGGCAAAAAAAGAACCTTTTAAGTTTCAACCTGGTAAATACATTGCATGTTGTTATGATCATGAATAGTACATAGGGCTTGTGCTTCAAATTTATAATGAAAACCAAAATGTTATTCTAAAATTCATGCATAGAAACAAATTAAATTTAAAATAGACTAATGATGCACAATCAAGTCAGTGTTGGGCTCCATTTGATAAAGTAATATGTCGAATAAGTGCTTATTCCATTAAGGTTAGAAGTGCTTGTGACTACAAACTTGCTAATATTGATTATGGCAGTATTATAAGTTATGTAAATCAGAGATAAAGAAATTAGTGTACTTGTTTTTTTCTAAAAGAAGAAGTGTATATGTGTATATACACTTCTTCTTTTAGCATTTTTATTTTTTATTTTTATTTTTTTGAAATATGATATAACTTGCACTATTAGGTATCTTTTTAAACTTAAAAAATATTGCACTCAAAATGCTAAAATTGTGTCA